TCTCCCCCCTGGGTTGAGGGTGCAGGGCACACGGTTTAGTGTTCAGGGCCTAGGGTTTAGGTGTATAGAGTTTCATTTTTTCACTGCCGTGGGGCACCGTCGGCATCCCGTGGGCGACTCCAAGAACTACGGACACGCTGAAGAACCGAAGACCAAGTCTGTCTGTTTTGCGGCACCTCTAACAGCTTAGATTTGATATCGCGTTCCCCCACACCTGCTCTCGCCCCGAAGTAATGGTCGTGAGTAATGGTCATAGCTAACTCCAAGATTTTGGCGTTCCATTTATGTCTTCTTGCACCAGCTCTATACGGGCCTCCTAATGCTTGTGGCTGAAGAAAACGATCGAAAGAGAGAACCCTGGCTGGATGGGTCAAAGGTCTTCTCAAAACGTGACCTGGCAAAGACAACTGCTGTAATCTGACCTCGTCCGAAAGATATAGCACTCCCATTTGACTACGAACTTGTTCGTTGGGGATTCTTTCACATCCGATGACCATAGCACCCCAAGTGGTGGGAATGCCTGCAATTGAACGTAGACATTTTATATGAAAAGCGTCCAACATCTTGTTATGCTTATCAGTGAGCCACATGGTAACGACACAAGCATAGTATATGCGAATTTTTCTCTCGCGCGAAATGCCTGTGTGTTTTTCAAACCCGCATAAGCTTCTTGAAGACCTGCCTGCATTCCCCAATTCGTTTAGAGATTTCGTTCCCCGGCCTACCTTGCGAGTCAATGACAGCACCCAAGTAAACCACGGAGGTGGCCTTAGGGACTTTACTGCCATCCGTAAAGTTGATCTCCACCTGACTGTTGTAGGACACAAGCTTGCATTTGCCATGATTGAGACGCAAGTTGTATTTCGCAGCTTCCGTTTGCACAATCTGCAGTAAAGTTTGCAAATGCTCACAATTCCTAGATATCAAGACAGTATCATCAGCAAACTCAATATCAAGCATGGAGACCGTAGGGGTAACAGCGAGCGGGTGCCGTGCAAGGAAGGTCCTTTGAATGTCATGAAACATAACCGTCTGCATAGCGATAAACAGCAAAGGTGAAAGAGTACATCCTTGTCGTATTCCACTGGACTGAGTTTAAGCCCGGAAACCTCACCATCCACAACAACACGAAAGACCGGAGTCGCCGTAAGGTCCAGGATTGCTTTGCACATGGTTGGTGGCACCTTCAACCGACGCAGTGCCAGGTGTAATGCAGCTGGTTTGATCGTATCAAAGGCCTTACTCCAGTCCAGAAACAACAAGTGCAGAACTTGATTGCGCTTTGCATCAACAAGGTCTTGCAGGCGTCGTACAAGAAAAATAGCGTCGCTCGTACTCCTACCTTGCCTAAAACCGAACTGATTGTCACGGAGCACAGGGTCCAGACCTGCATACAACCTCGCAGCACCCTGGCGTACAATTTGTAGCAAGTCTGCAACAAAGAAATCGGCCTAAAATTAGACGGGTTGCTCTCGCAACCTTTCTTGAATATGCCTATAACCTGGGACTGCTTCCAAGACGATGGACTCTTGCCGTGACTCCAACAGTCTTGAAACAAGTCCAAAAGAGCCTCTGAGCCTTTGCCGGAAAGGTTCTTCCAAAACTCATTAGGAATATTATCTTGGCCCGCACTCTTGCCGGATTTGAGATGCTTAATTGCCTGAATGAGTTCGGCCATGGTCACAGGGCCCTCTTCAATGTCCGGGGCTGCGTGTGGCAAGAGATCCGTGCAGAGGTCTTCAACCCCACTTGACGTTGCAGGAGCCCACTGCACCTGCTCTAGATGCGCGGCATAGATATCTGCATTTGTGGCTGTTGCTGAAATCCCTAAACTTGGTGAAGGCTCAAGTCGAACCATCTTTGTAGGGAACGATTTCGTGAGCTGCTTGATAGGCTCCCACGAATTTGATTGTAGTTGCTCTTCGAGCCAGTTTTTCTTATCCCGATTTGCAGAACACTTAATTTCTTTGTTGTACTCGGCCACCTGCTGGAGGTCGCCTAGGTTGCGCAGGACACCTCTACGTGTAATCAGATCCAAGGTGCTCTGGCTAGTCCAGGGTTTCCTAGGTGTAAACTGGTATTTAGGTATGTGTTCGTCCATGGCCTGAACAAACACTTCCCGGAGAGTCCCATTTTTTGGACGCGTCCTCATGACCTTCTACGTTGCTCAATCGGGCTTCCAGGGCTTCGTTCATCTCGCGGATGCTCCTGGGCGAGGCGCTATGAAAATCCCAGCGAGGGCGCGGCGCCTGTTGGCGCCTAGCCCCCAGTTTGAGTCTCACCTTTGCAAGCAATGGGAAATGATCACTGTCTACATGCGCCCGAGGATCGGAAAATACGTCCCTCACAAGATTTCTCCATCTCCGGGGGGCTAAACACAGATCAAGTTGGGCCAACAAGTTGGGGTCCCAAGACGCGGAGGCATGTGGTAGGGTAGTGGTTCCTACTTCCCTATACGTGACCTGCTTGGCGGACTTGTGCTTGGACCACGTGTTGGAAACCAAGAGCTGGTTTGGACGCAGCAATTGATGAGAAAGCTCCTGTTATCCGGTTCGCCTCCCACCGAACCAACACCTTTCCCATACAAATGGGGCCCCAAGACAAGATCCTCATCGTGCATTCTACCATGGATGCGTGCATTGAAGTCTCCCATAATGAGGTAAGGGCGTCGGTTTTCCACCTTCTCTATGAGCTGGTTGTGTTCGTCGTAAAAAGCCTGCTTGGTTTCTTCGGTGTGCTGGTTATGTGGCGCATGTCCTGTGATGACGGAAAATTCTCCAGCTCCCGTATGTAGACTAATTCCCGCCGCCTTACTACTGCTAGGGAGTGTACGTAAGAGCGCTCGTTTTGCCGCAGGCGACAGAGCAAAACCTGTGCCATAGTGCTCCTGCTTGTCGGGGCTCGCATTACTGAATGTGTAGAAGGTAAACGAATCAATCATGTAGTATGAAGTACGCTTGGCTTTGGTTTCTTGTAAACAAAGGACGTCAATGCACTTGGACTTCATGTACTGGACAATCTGATGATGCATTGAAGGTTTCAAAAGGGAACAGGCGTTGAGGGTAGCAATGTTAAGTGAAGTACCATGAAAAAGCTTGGATAAATGAGGTGAACGCTTTCTGTTCTCAGTATGGTCTTCGTAAGCAAATGAACCCGCGTTCCGGGTGTCTTTCGAGAGGCGTTGCTTTCGAGCAGGTGAGGGCGCCTGTCTAGGCCTTCTTCAAAGTAGCCAACATTTGATTTACACCATCTATACCACCGGCGGTGTTGCGACCGCTTGGTGGCCAAGCTTGCTTTTCTCTGTGTGGTTGCAAGTGTAGACGCCCTACCTCTCTTTTTTGCTGACCGAGTGTGTCTCTGTAGCCGCTGAAGCATCGAATTTGTGTGATTAGTGCATACAACAAGGTCGTCAAAAGTGGCCGTGAAACGCTTCTTCTTTAAAGATTTGCTCCGCGGTGTGCCCGGCTTGCCTGCTGGGCGGCGCATTGGCAGGTGTGAGTAAGTAATGGTCGTGCAAGAAGTGGTCGTACGTGAAGATTGTGCGCGAGGTGAATGTTTATTACGGTCTGCGGTTGTGCTGCGCAAAGTACATAGCGGCACGTACACGTCAAGACGAGTGCCTTCCCCTGCCTTTGGCGGGGTGCGGGAACCGAACTCCTCTTCAGCAGTCGCCATGTCTACGTCGTCCGAGGCTTTGGAGTTGCGGGAGCGCGTGCTCATAGTTGCGTAGCGTTCGTTCAGTTCCTGCAAGTTGTCCTCGGTGAAGGCGGCAATGTTGATGCGAAGGTATTTTTGCGGATTGCCTTCCGTCTGGTTGCCCCGATTTGCCATGTCGGCCAATCCTCCGCAAACTGAGTCTCAAACTCCTCTTTCTTGTCATCGGGGACGAAGATGGTCACTTTGGTTGCGTCGTTTGCGTCCGTAGCAACTGCTAGTACCCATTCGGTTTCATGCCATAGGGCCTGCAGTTCCCATGTTGGTCGAAATTTGGGGTTGCCGCCATAGATGGTCGCCATTGCCTTCATAGCGCACTTCATGGGAGCATCTTGTTCACGGCGGTAGCGGGGTATCTGCGGTCTTCCTACGATGGTGCTGCCCTTGAGCTTATGCGGGTCGTTCTTGACGTGGTGCAGGAAGGTGTTGCGCGCGTCTTTGTCCCACATGTGCACAATGGTGAGGTGTCCAAGTGCTTGCTTGTTCTTCGGCGTGGTGGTGCCCTGCAAGTTGTCCACTACCCCATAGTACTGTGCCATGCTACGGATTTCTCTGTCACGGTCTTGTTCGCTCATGCCGGTCGGCCATCCCATGAGAAGCAGCTGTTTGGAAGCCTCTAGTTCTTGGTCTCTGAGCAGAAGTGAGGCTGTTTTCGCGGATTTCCACTCGACAGTGTTCAACCTGGCATCCTGCTTCGAAACTGTGGCCTTCAGCGTGTCATATTCTTCCTTCGTGAGTGCTATTGTTGTTCTCGCTGCTAGAGTGGCTTCGTCCTCCTCAGGTTCATGCTTCTGAGTTTGTGCTTGTAGTGCATGTGCTGGTGAACGCGATCTTTCCCCCATCCCGTCGTGGCGCGAGTGTGAGGGCTGGGGGCCTGCCTTGCTAGTCTCGGTCCGAAAGCCGAAAGAGTTTCATGGCTGAGGGTTTACGATGCAGCTGAAAATGAGACTTGTCTATTTTCTTAATGATATGGGATTCTCTGAATGGGTGGGTACTTCTCCATCACAAGATGAAAAGGCTCGACTAGTGAAAGCTAGTACATGGCTGCTGAACCCTAAACCCTACAACCTAAACCCTACACCCTACGCCCTGTTCTCCTGGCTAAACCCTAAACCCTAAACCCTAAACCCTAAACCCTAAACCCTAAACCCTAAACCCTAAACCCTAAACCCTAAACCCTAAACCCTAAACCCTAAACCCCTAAACCCTAAATCCTAAACCCCAAAAAACCATCGATCAGGTGGGACGGCTCTTCGGCCTCTTCGAGCGTGACATCGAGACTTTGGATGGGGAGCTGGGAGGATGCAGCCCTGAGTCCTAAACCCTAAACCCTAAACCCTGAATCCTGAACCCTAAACCCTAAACCCTAAACCCTAAACCCTAAACCCTAAACCCTAAACCCTAAACCCTAAACCCTAAACCCTAAACCTCAAACCCCAAACCCCAAACCCCAAACCCCTAACCCATCCTAAGCCCCTAAGCCCTAAACTACGGCACCTGGGGAGTCGCCAAGGCTCCGAAGCCTTCTGCAGGACACCACGCCGTCGTGAAGCCGGGCTTCCCGCGCTGGGCGCGTTCGCCCGGAAGCTGTGCGGAGAAGGCCTAAACCTGTTTAGGGTTTAGGGTTTAGGGTTTAGGGTGTTTAGGGTTTAGGGTTTAGGGTTTCGGGTTGGGATGTACCCCCCTTCTACTAATTACTAACAGTCCTTAACAGGGGTTGTAGTAGGGGGTACTATAATCCCTAGTATGGACTGTTAGTATAAGCGGTAACATCCCAAGCCTAAACCCGAAACCCTGGAACCTAAACTCCCGGCCGTTTTAGATTCTGGACCCAGAACTTTACCAGACCTCTCTGGAGGCCCCCCTTGGACGCTGGCCCGACTCGAAACCTGGGGTCTGCCATGACCCTAAACCCTAAACCCTAAACCCTATAAACCCAAAACCCTAAACCCTAAACCCTCAACCCTCAACCGCAAAGCTGCGGGGGCTCCTGGTGCGGACCCCTCGAAGCGGGACGGCCCAGAGGGAAGTCTGGCGTGGTGTTTTGGATTCTGGATTTGGGTTTTTTTTGGGCGTCATTCGAGGCGTTGTGCTCCGCCGCGCTTGTTTGTTCTCGGAGGCTGCGGAAGTCATCGCCTTCTACCAGCAGCAGATCCGAGCTTTGGCAGCTTCGCCGGCACAGCCTGGCCTTGCACCCCGACACCTCTCGGGTTGAGCCCATCAGGCTTAGGGTTGTTGGGCTTGGGGGGTTCAGGGACTTCAACCCTAAGCCCTGAGAGGGAACTCGGAGCACTCAACCCTATTTTCCTTATGAAGATGTAGGACATGGAGTAACACATGAAGAAAATCGAGGTCTTTCTTTGTCCTGGGCCAGCCGCGAAACCTAATACATCCTGAGCTCTGAGCGTCAGATGCCATAGGGATCGCGCTTTCTGCGAGCAGATGTTTCTTCTTCTCGTTCGTCTCGAACCCGACGGAAAATGGGTATTTGCCAAAATAGGGGTACCCCTTTTATACCCCTACATAGAATTGAATCCCCTTAAAGGGACCCTAAAAGGGGTACCCCTATGTTCGAAACCACCAAATACCCCACACCTCACAGAGATCCAGGCTTTAACCAGTCCGACCCCGAAATGCCCCCCCTGAAAGATCCCAAGTGGCTCAGGTTACGGGTTTGGGGTTTGGGGTTTAGGGTTTAGGGAAGCAAGCACCCAGACAAAGGAGGCACGCCTGGCTGAGCGGCAGAGAGCGGGAGGCGAAGAGGGGGCTTTGGGCAGCTTTCCCTAAACCCTCAACCCGACCCTAACCTTAAACCCTATTATATCCCTTTCGAAGGGTCTCAGTGAGACCTGAAGGTAGGCCCAAAGTTATTCAGGCAAGGCAGGTTCAGGGTCTAGGGTCTAGGGATCAGGGGTCCTTACAGGGTACCTTGAGGGGCTAATATTGGGGGTGCCTTTGAAGGCATCTAGCTTTGCTTACTCAAGCAGGGGCCGAGGCCTTCTGCCCTCCACTGCCTCCCAACAAAAACCCAGGGTTTGGGGGTGTAGAACCCCGAAACCTACAAGAAAATAGTTCGGGTGGGGGGTGGGGGCTACTAAGCTTTGCGAGCGTGCGATGGGGAGCGCGCCCTCAAATCTAAAGAAAAGGCACTCTCCCCGTGGCGTGCGCGCATGCGCGCGCTGACACACCCTAAACCCGAAACCCTATATAGACCCTAAACCCCAAAATTAAACCCCAAAGCCTAAACCCTAAACCCAAACCCTAAACCCTAAAACCTTAACCCCTAAGCCCTTCAGGCCTCAGTTCCGGCACTTCTGCGCTCCTCAGCAGCGAGTCGCAGACCTCGCCGGACAGGACGCCCGCAATCCGGCAGCCGGTTGGAGGGTTTAGGGTTTCGTGTCTAGGGTGAAAGCACCCAGGCGCGCGCCCCGACCTGCATAAGCCCACCCCCGCTGGCGCTCCACCCTCGCCTTAAACTCTACGGTTGTAGGGTTCTTTTGAAGCATCTTGGTTGGGGATCTGGAAAACTTGCTTGCTGCCGCTTTCGCCCTTACTGGGAGGCGATGTGATGCCTTCTACCATGCAAGCAACCCCCAGGCAGGGGCCGCCTGCCAGGCACGGCCTCCCAGGCACGAGTCTCCCAAGCAGGAGGCAAGCGCCCAAAAAAGGAAAACGACCGCGGCCGGAGGCGGGGCTTTTTCGGGAGGGGCCCAGGCCCAGGAAGACCTCCCAAAAAGAGGATGCTACGCTTACCCGAAAGTTTGGGGTATCTTATTCTAGGGCGACCTGACGGGTTTCTCGCCAGCGACCCCCGGCAGCCCGTAGCTGCCTAACGGGACGGAGAGCTCCGTGGAGCTCCCTCGCCCGCCGGCTTCGGTGCGTTCGCCCTGCTCGACGGCCTCGGGCTCACTCAGTTTAGGGTCTAGGGTTTAGGGTTTAGGGTTTAGAGGGTTGAGGATTGTCGGGTTTGAGGGGTTTTAGGCATTTGGGGGCTTCAGGGTTCGGGGATTTTTGGGGTTTGGGGCGGGTTTTGGGAGTTTTGGGGGGTTTCGGGTTTGATTTTTTTTTCCGGTTTTTGGGTGTTGTTTGGTGTTGGGGGTTTCGGGGTTTTAGGTTTGGTGCTTGAGGGTTGGTTCAGGGTTTGGTGTTTTGAGGGTGCGAGGTATGTGTGTGTGTGTGTGTGTGTGTGTGTGTGTGTGTGTGTGTGTGTGTGTGTGTGTGTGTGTGTGTGTGTGTGTGTGTGTGTGTGTGTGTGTGTGTGTGTGTGTGTGTGTGTGTGTGTGTGTGTGTGTGTGTGTGTGTGTGTGTGTGTG